AATATTTACCGTGACTAATTATTAGTCTTATTATTATTATTATTATTATATAAGCGTTTAAACAATATTTTTCAACCACTATGTACAGATAGGGGCCAGACATAAAACACCGGAGGGCAGGACCATTTTGACATATAACACTTCTGAAATCCAACAACCCTATGCAACCTTTTAAACCAGATTCCCCGTACCGAGAGTAGTTAAAAAGATATTATAACGACACTTATATAAGTCATAATAATAGCTCAAATAGTTATTATAAGTTCATAATAACAATACTAATTTTAAATATAAGCTATATTAAAATAGGTAAGCATAACTTACTTACAAAGAGGTTTTAGCTAGGAGTCGGGCTCTGTAGGGGCAGAACTTCGTCGCTGAATCTTTCTAAGAAAGATTCGTGCAGCGCTTCAGCGCTCACCTTACTATACTAAAACTACAGAAAGATAAGTCGAATCACGAGGGACCGAAATCGTCGGGGGATAAGAAGAGAAAGACTCTTGAATCAAGAGAATGGTGCAAGAAATATGAGAGCTCAAGCTGCTTATTTATAGTAATTGAATTTACAAAAACTACCCTTCATAATTACTTAATGACCTTATAGTTATATAAACGACTAAACACCCCTTCATAATACTATTTTAAATAGATTTAACGATATTTGTACTAAACTAATGTCGGAAGTACTCAACACTAGTCTTCTAATAACCGCATCGTCGATACCTTTCTAATGATATATACATATGTATATATGTGTACGTATATATGATTTATACTTTATTTTAATACGTAAATATGCTATTATAATTTGTAACTCGTTCATTCGAACTCCATTTTTGACGTTCTTTATACCCACGCGTTGGTATCTACGAGTACTACAACTTTCATTTAGACGCCGTCAACTAATTCTCATTCCAACTCAGATTTACAAAACTGTATCGAATTTATCGCGCTCGAAGAGTAGGGACATTCTTTATATCCACGCGTAGGTAAAAACAAGATCTAAAACTTTCATTTATACTCCGTCGGCTAATTCTCGACCGATCTTAAATTTAACAGTATGAGGAGATTATACTGTTAAATGTCTGCGTAAAATTCATAACTTCTACATATGGACTCCGTTTTCGTCTGTCTTTTTACCGTTGAGTTCCTATTAATGAGATCTTCAACTCTCATTTAGGTCGCGTAGGCCAAAAACCGCTCGAACTCAAATTCGAGTTTCGGGTCGTGCACTACTATGCCAAATCTTAGAAAATTCATAACTTCCTCATACGAAGTCAGATTTGGGTGTTCTTTTTTTTATGTTATCGGTTTAACGTATACTACAAATTTTGTTTAGATCACTAAGACTAAAAAGTCTTCTACCGTAAATTTACTATATACGTCTCCCGGTGTCGTGCCGGTTTTGCCGTAAAACTTCGACGGGCCATAACTTCTTCTTTATAACTCAGATTTCGGCGTTTTTTATATGTAAGGAACCCATGTAACATATACTACAACTTGGTTAAGATTAATCCTTCTAAATAATCTTCCATCAAAAACTCATATTTGATGCTCATCGTCTCTAAATTGACTAGCCCGGATCTGCGTGCGTTACACCATCAAAGAATTCGAGAGAGAAAACGGCTGCCTGGAATAGCTGATTTGGGATAAAATCAAACAAAAGGGAACTAATCTTTTGCGGTGACGCCATCGATATGTTGGAGGGAAACGGACACGCCATTTTTTTGTGATTTTTTGCCGTCAGGTCGGCCAGGATCGCTTGTCACGTGGGTCACGCAAATCGAAAGCAATAGCGGCCACACCGACGTCACAAAAGGTGTCGTCGCTATTACTTCCATGAGAGTGAACCCTATTGTCGAATCATGTTGCAAATGTAGGGTCAAGATTGTGTGTGTTCGTCAGATCACCGGTGGATATCTTTAGCGACAACATGAGACTTTAGTGGCGACACCAGGCGTGCCTCGTTGATGTCGTCGTTAAAGGTCCTGTCGTCGCTAAAAGTAGTGTTCCTAATACTCGCTTTTCATGTTGTGATTACATGTGTTTAGTTATAACAAATTAGGCGGAGAACTTTATAAAATAGTTAACTAAAAAAACCTTTTAAAAGTAATTAGGGAACGAAAATGACTAAGTTACCATGTTTTTTGATAAATTTTATAAAATAAAAAAACTTATATAAAATAAAATCTACCATTCTAATAAACAAAACTTAAATTGCCACTTTTCACTCTGTTAAATAATATGGTATACATAACACTTGACATCTTTTGCCAAGTCTATTTATTTGAGTTTTAAATTTTAAATATTGTAATATTAAGCAATGTCAAACTTGCTAAACTTAGTTAAATTCAAATCTCCTTACATTTGACTATATCAAATTTAAAATTCGGGAGACAATGTAAATTCATATTCCTAATATTAAGAAAATAAATAAATCAACTTCATTGATTTTTATTCTTCAAAATCAAATTTCAACAATTTATTTGTGGAACAATTATTTTCGATTCGAATATTATTATCCGGGTATTTATATTTTCACATATTTCACGTGAATAAAAAAATATATATATTATTTATATTAATAAAAAATTGTTGTTGATTTGTGTTTGAAAAAAAAAAGCACTTGTCAAGCACAACCAGTCCTTGGGCCCTCCCCAATTTTCGTTTAATTACACCCCTACCACCAAATTCCCCCGTATCGCATCCTACATTCCTACTCTTCTCTGCAGCATTAGTCATCCTCTCATGGCGAACACACCATTCCTGCTAGAATCCACTTTCGATCTCAACCCTTTGCTCCAACAGACCTTCCATTTTCCCCCACTTCGCTCTTTCCTAATCACATTCTCGTCTGGCGACAATAATGCTTTCAAATCAAACTACACTCCTTACAAGATGATCAGCCATTACCCCAAAATAAGAACTAAATGCTTCTTTATGATCCCCAAGCCCAAAGGGGAAAACAGCATTGGTGGAAACAGTATCCGGGAGGTTAAGGATTTGAAAGCTAGTGGTGTAAATGAAGTGATTTGGAGATCAATAAAAAATGTCGTGAAGGCCTTACAAAAACCAGTCACAACTGGAGTTTTATTGGGTTTGTTATTGCTTTACGATCATCACCATGGTTGCGTTGCGTTGGCTGCTTCCGGTGGAGTTGGGCCAGCGTTTGGAGTTGGGGCAGCGGTTGGACATGACTTAGGTTTTTGCGCGATCATGATGATATTGGGTTCCATTCTTGCGGTGCTGGCTTACCGATTTCTTACTATTACCGATAAAATAAGTGTTCTTAAGCTTCAGGTATTATATTATGCTCTTTCAACAATTGCTGATCATGTCTACGCCATATATAACCTCAATTCAAGTTTCAAATTTGATCCATCTTTATTGCTGATTCTGTAATGAGTAACTGTTATAGTGTTATCCATTGTAATTTTTACAGGTCGGATTGTCAGATACGGGTAAATCACTGCAAACGAATCTCAGTCGGATTGTGCAGATAACGGATCACAATCGCATTTTTCAGATAGATGATACATACACATCTAGATACGCATCTACATACAACCGTGAGGATTTGAGCTGCATATTACAAGGTAAAGAATGATGTTTACATGATATATACAATTTGGATATAAGAAGCATCACAAATATCACTCATTATTTATCATTAGAGCCTACAAAAATTATGGTGTTGGGTTGAGATTTTTACTACATTGAATTATATTGGTTAACTTAGGAGGTGAGCATTTGGACTAAACCGGACCGGGTTTGTCGGGAAATTGGTGGACCTTGGACAAGATTTGTTGAGGCTTTTCAGGTCAAGGTCCAGTTCCCAGTTCTTGGACGTAGGGGTGAGCATTTGGACTGAACCAGAACGGTTTGGATAAAATTGTTGGACCTTGGACCGGACCCTATTGAGGTTTATCAAGTCTAGGTCTGGAGGTCCAAATGTTCACCCCTAGGTTAACTCCTGACTCATCTAACCCGTTCAATTAAATGGATTTGGTTGAAATTTTCAATTGGTTTTCATCCGTCAATTCATTTTAAATAT